AAAAGATAGTTTATGAGAATCTTAAAATACTATACATTAATTTAAACGTTAAATATTAACCTTTAAATCAGTGTCCATTGTGTTTCGTGCCTTTGATTTGATTCTTTGTAGATAAGATAATTAGTAAGCAAATTAAATGATCAAAAAAAAGTGATCCTTAAAATAATACCTTCTTCCAATATGATTCTCTAAGCGTGACAGCATATTCTTCTGCTTGTTTAAGATCTTGTTTTATTGAATCAACTTTCTCTTTTAAAATATTAAACTCTCATTGTTTGACACAAATAAGTGATTGCTTTGCAATAAACAAATGTGCAAATTCTCTTTGTTTTTCTTCAATTTGGTTTGAATAAACTTCCGACTTGCCTTTATTTAAATTTAAATCCAGTTACAAAATAAAAAAGGTATTCACACAAATACATTAAAATAATCGATTAACATACCTCTTAAGCTTTCCCTGATCTTGTCAAGTTCACTTTCTTGGGCCTCTAGAGATCTTTCCAAGCTCGACATCTCTTCCATTCGATCATTCAAATCCTGTTCATTAAATAGCATTGCTGATTTCGCTTCCGAAAGTTCATAAGTTTCTATAACAATAAGCTTATTATTCTATGTCGCGTTTCAAAGAAATAAAAATTAAACCTACTGTAAAAATTGCGTATAGCATAGTTAAAATCTATTTGATTGGATGAAAATCTGATTTTTTTAATTGGTTAAAATTAAAATTAAATTTTGATTGGTTCATATTACAAAAAGAATTTTATAAAATATATTATTGTAATACTATAGATATTATAACCTTTAATTAAAATATGTGACATAATAAAAATAATTTATAAAATTAATATCATAATAAAATTAATAAATAATCAATATAAACACAATACAAGTATTAGATAAATTAATTAATAAAAGATTATTAATCATAATGATATATATATAATAAGCTTAAATTAAAAATACTAAAAGAAGAATTAAAAATAAATAATTAAAATAAAAAAAATATAATAATGTAATAATAAATAAAATATTATGAAGTAATATTTAATTATATATTATAGGAATATTATATAAAAATTAAGTGATAATTATTTTAGTCTGAAACAAAATAAAGGACTATATATAATCAGATAATATATAGAAAAGTATTCTGATATCTGCCTATTTAATAATTAAGTTGATACTGATTGGCTTTATAATTATATAAAAGAATTTTTTTAGTTAAAATTATTTCAGATATAATAATAATTCTTATTTCTAGTATTATATATAAATATTACAAATAAATAAAGTAATAAAATAATAAATTAATATAAAAAATTTATTATAAATAATTTAAATTTTCAATTATATAAAGAATAGTTAATGAAATTCTTAATAATTTAACTAAAACTAATAAAGGTTTATTAAATAAATATTTTTAAACATTTTATTTAAATTTTTAATAATTTATTAAATATAAATATATTTTTTTTTTATATATTTTTGAATATAAATTTACTTTAATATTTTAAAATATTTTATCTTTTAAAACATAATAAAACATAAAAATATATAATCATTTTTTTTAAGTTTATAATTTATTCTATTTAAATATACATTTTTATTATTTTTATTATAAAAATCTAAAGACTATTTTACATTTATACTTTTTAGTTTAAAGACTTAATTATTTTTTATAAATAATTTAGTAAAATCATACATAATTAATTAATTCTTTTTCAAAAATATACTAAAATTAAATATTTCAGTTATTTAATTATAAGTTAGATAATAATATATAATTATATAATTATTAAATAAAGTTTATTTAAAAATAATGAATTTATTATAAAATTTTATTAAAAATTAAAAAATTATAATTAAATGAATAAAAATTCTTATTATTTAAAAAATAATAAATTTTTTACTTAAGTTTTAAGAAATTTTTTTACAATTATTTAAAATATTTTATAAATATATATAAAAATAATTTTATTTTTTTTTTGTAAATTTATAAAATTTTAATTTATTAAATATATTTAATAATTTTATTATTATACTTACTTATATAATACTAAAAATTGAAAACTGTTATTAAATCTTAGAATGATTACTAGTATTTATTTTTATCTAAATTTTGTAATTATAAAGGTCAATTAGTATTGACTCAATTATTAAACAAATATACACAGTAATGTACATTTTTGATGTTTCAGAGATTTGTTGTCCCAGCTATATATTCCAACCTGTCTCACACTATGTTCTAAATGTCCTATCTGTTTCATTTATGTACCATCAGCGTCCCATCAGTATTCCATTAATATCTCATAACAATACTGAGTATACAAATAAATATATGTGTAATTTTAGACCTATATATATAATCTTTTACTTCATTTTAGACTAATAAATAATCTTATTTTTTAATATTTATTGTGATATTATATAATTTATATAAAAATTTAATGAGATTTACTATATATTACTATTAGTAATTAGCATTAGTATCACAAATTTCCTTTTTTAAATATTTATATAACTTTATTTAATTTTTGTTAAAATCAAAATTGATTTTTTAAAATTATGTAATATTACTTAATATTCTAAAAAGGTATTTAGTTAAAATTATAAATTTTAGCTGAAATTAAAAATATGATAAATAACATGTAATGAACATAATTTTATATTCAAAAATTTTAAGTTCTTAGAATATATAGTAAAAATAAAATATAAAAAATGTAATATAGGATAATAAATTATTTATATAAAAATTTATGTAAAATAAATATTAATTACTATTGATAAAATATAGTAATTTTCAAATTTAATATATAATAATATATTTTAAGCTAATAAATAAAATAATAAATAACTCTTATTTTTATATATTTACTAATTTTTAGTATAATTAAAATTTTTATTAATTATAATAACATTTATAGTAATTATATTTATTTAAATTTTTTTATATAGTACTTTACTGATTATTTTAATTCTTTTCAAAAAAAGATTTGTATTTAAGATTATATATATTCAGAACTCTCTAATCAATAAGTTTTGTATCTATTCATTCAGTTTTAATGAATTGTTTTAAAGAAAATATTTCTTAATATATATTTTTTAATATTTAAGATATAAAATTAAATATAAAAAAATTATATGATATAATTATTATCAAAAAATGATAAACTTAAATATGATGGGTAATTTTTTTAATATTTAATTTATTTAATGAAACAAAAACTACATTTTGCAGTGTAAATCTTTGTGTATAAAGACTCAAGCAATGACAGATCTGTTGAGAAAATACTTTGAGATAGTTACATAAAATCATACATCTAAGATTCAAAAGATGATATTTGAGTTCTTTAATGGTAAAAAGTTTGAAGTTATGGTCTATTACTATTTGATTTCATAATTATATTTTGATATTTTTGGTAAATAATTATGAATTATATATAAAATAACTTACTGTGATACTTGAAATATAAATACAGTCGTCCCCCTCTATAGTCACCTCCTGTACAATCACATCATATAAATCCCTCATTATAAGCACACATTTTGTAAGAACCAATACTATATAAACCCCTTTATAATCACAGTGTTTTATAGTCACACCCTACGTTTTGTAACAATATATAAAAATCCCCCTATATAGTCACTTTTTATTATAATCACACCTTTTAATTTTAGTCCCGACTACAATTTTGTTATAAAAAAAAAAGAACGAATAAAATATATACAAAAAATACAGAAAATATAATTTATCAAAATTGTTCTCAACTTAGAAATCATAATACATTATTCGATTTCTTCACCTCTCAAGATTTTGATTTGAAAAAATTCCCGCTTAATCGTAAGAATATGTGAGATTTCTTTGGCAATTAATAACGACCATCAAAAGTTTCAATAAAACAGCTACATCGACCTAAAGAAACTCGAACTTTTTTCAGAAAATTTTTAGTCTTAAGGGACATAATTGATTACAAGAGTACCTACCTGCTGAAAGGATTCCATGTCGTTCCTCTTAACAGGGAAA